CCCCGAAAGCTTAGTGAGCTACACCTAAAATACCAACCGCAACAATATCATAACCATATCATATAAAAAACACAGAACAACCATGAATCTCGAGTCTACAATACGACTAGTCCGCCCTCACCGGGCCTTCAGTCCACCTGGTCCACCCTCTAAGCCTACAGTCTGACTGGATCGCCCACATCGGGCCTTCACTCTATCTGGCCCACTCTCTGAGCCTCGACACGTCTGGATTGCCCTCTCGGGGCCTTCAGCCTATCCGGACCGCTCGCTGGGCCTTCGGCCTGACTATATGCCCTCCCGGGTCTGTAGTCTATCCGATCCGCCCTGGGTTTGTTGGCCTACAGCACAAAGCAGGTCATGCCTCAACCCAACCCCCATACCAACAGCATGTGCACATAAACAGATAATCACATAATAGTCCATAAATAACCAAACCGATCTAACAGATCATAATGCATAACAAAATCCTAACCAGGATACCGACCTAACCAGGTCACTAACACAACTTCATCCTGTATACCAAGATACCGACCTAACCAGGTCACTAACATATTACCGTCCTAACTACTAGACTATAGATCTAACAGGTCAAAAGCATATCAAACAAATACCAGTACACAATCTGAGAAAGGACCGGCCTTGGTGCCTTAGACCCTATTGATAAAGTGAGGATAACTCTCCTCGAAATGCGGAACCATAGAGATAAGATCAAACCACCGAGTCACAGCCCCAAACTCTACCACCTATAACCACCATAGGACCAATTCCATAAATTCTCAGATTATCAAAATAGCCTCAGGAGACAAACTGGTCAAATCTTCGTCAAAGTCAAAGTCAAATGTCAAGGTCAACAGTCCATGTTGACCTCAACTCGTCGAGTACCCATAACTACTTGCCGAGTTCTAGCATAACTTGCCAACTCGTCGAGTTACTGAACTGACTTGCCGAGTCCAAGGCAATCTTCATCGGACTCGCAGAGTCACTCATCCGATATGCCCAGCCCATGACCATCTTCGATGGACTCGCCGAGTGGACGATGCCACTCGTCGAATCCCTTGAAACCTTCTTCTATACAGATGTTTTTTAAGCAATGCAAAGGCTCCATATTGCAGATCCAACTTCCCATGGCATGCTTATCACGTAAAGTTGCAAACTTTACGTGCATGCAAAGCTCTAAAGCCTTAAAATGACAAAACTAAGCTTGCAATGAAGTCCAACACTTGAGGGGAGGTTAATACTTGACAAATCTGGCTATTTTATGGACTTAGAGGCCAAGGAGAGTCCAGATCTGAAGTTACAACTTCAAATGTTGGCTTATACTCAACAATGGCTTCTTATTATGCTAGAAAATCCCAAAAGAGATCTAGAATGAAATGGGTTTGAGATAGCAGCTTAATACCCTCCACACGATGTCAACTGAAGTAGATTTTGATTCCCACGAGTTCCTTGCTTCAATCCACTTGTTTTTCGCAAGTTTTTCCTCACCAAGATCCTTCTTCCAAGCATAAATACACCAATGAAGTACACACACATGATCTAGGGTTTTGAATCGTCAAGAGGACGTAAAGGGGAGGCTAGGGAGGCCAAAGATCCTTTAAATAGGGTGCAAAATCTGAGAATTGGGGTTTTTCCTCCACCGGCTCCTACTTGTCGAGTCCCTTCTTGGACTTGGCGACTAGGTCACTTAAACACGTGGACAACCCACTGCTACTCGGCGAGTCAGGCAACCAACTCATTGAGTATACCTCAAAATCATGAGAATTTATAACCATAAATTGACACTCGGGAAATCAGTTTGTTACATCTAAATAGAATTCGTCAACATGCTCTTTTAAGAACAATTATACCTTGAAAATCCGTAGCACTTTTGATTATATTACTTGAAAATTTCTCTTATCATCTTTGTTCCCAACCCTTCTCCACCGAGTTTCCCAAGAAATAGATATTATTAATAATTTTATGTTCATATGCTCATGAAAAAAATGATAAACTATCAGATTATGATCATTTGAGGTATCATATCAGTTCACTTTGATTTACTTTCCCAATAGTTAGATATTCTTAACTTTATACTTTCATATATTTATTGAAATTTATGATAAAAGATTTCCAACTTTCTTTATGTATAAAATCCTATATCAATGAAATTTGAATTTAGTTTCCATTGGTTTTCCTTAAAATCATATCCATCTTCAAATTACATTCACATATTCATGAAATTAATGACATAATTATTGATTGTTTAATGCATACATCTTGTAACCAGTATCAAGATATAATCAATTTGGGAGATTTCCAGGTAAAATATTAAGGACATCTAGGAAAAGATAACATCAGAAAACGGTAATTATGTGTTTATTTCTATACACAACATAAATAAAATAAAATGGTCAATAGGGTGAAGATTACGACTCTTTATTTGACCCCAATTAGATGACGTTAGGGGAAGTCTAGGTTTTACACTGATTGAGGATTGTGACCAATTATGAAAGAGAAAAATGTGTTATTATTCCATATATTATTGTAATTGTTTACTCTATGGATGAAGGAAATGGATGTATCAGATACGTTGCGGGTAGGTTCATTTCGGTCCAAAATTGTACGAAATAACAAAAGCAAAAACTTCTTGACCGAGGCCAGTGTTTAACACAGTTTCCTTAAAACAAATTCGCCCTATATGGGTGTTTGTTTCCCAGGATACAACAGTGGAAAGCAATTCTTCTAGATTGCCCGAACCCTCACTTGGCCCGGATTATACCTTGGTTGCAGCAAGAGAGAAAAGATGAAGCAGAAGCGTTAAAACGAAATCGTAACTATCACAATTAAATAAGAAAATTAATCAAAGAATCAAAACTAAAATCTATGATTAATAGCTCTTAATTCATTTTTGTAGCAGTTAAAAAAGAAAAAAAAATCTATGATTAATAGCTCTTAATTCGTTTTTGTAATAGTTAAAAAAGAAAAAAAAATGTATAAAATTTTTTTGCCCTATATGGGTTTTTGTTTCCCAAGATACAACAGTGGAAAGCAATTCTTCTAGATTGCCCGAAGCCTCACTTGGCCTGGATTATACTTTGGTTGCGGCAAGAGAGAAATGATGAAGCAGAAACATTAAAACGAAATCCTAACTGTCACAATTAAATAAGAAAATTAAACAAAGAATCCCAACTGAAATATATGATTAATAGCTCTTAATTCATTTTTGTAACAGTTAAAAAAGAAAAAAAATCTACGATTAATAGCTCTAAATTCGTTTTTGTAACAGTTAAAAAAGAAACACAAGTTCAGTGGCCCGAAGCCAATCTGGCTCGCATTTGCACCACCCCCTTGCATGCGCGTGCAAGAGAGAGCATCGGTTCTAATTAGTCTTACAAAGGTAGCTTGTCTTTGTAGTTATAAACCAATTTTCTTTTCCTTCTTCCACCAATGTGGGATGAGTTTTAAAAATCCACTTGACTTCTTTATCTTCTCTTCAATTGCCTTACTTTGACAAGCAATTTCTCATTCATTTTAAATCCGTTTTGGACGTATGATATATCGGAACGTAGATGTCACGGAGGAGAACACAAATATATAACCAATAACTTGTTTTTGATTATATTTAGAGTATTAAATTTGTGCTCAAAAATGGAGAAAATCCATTTTTGGAAATTAATGAAATTAATTTTCCAACAGGTACGATGTACCAGTTTTTCGGATTCAATGTACGTGTTGTCAAATTACAAAATCCGATATAATATCAATATTTGATTTGTATTCAATATCAATGCATATTACCAGTTAATAGAATGCAAAATCATGTTGCAGAAAAATGGATAAACAGTTAACAGAATGCAGATTTGTAATTTATAAACAGTAAACAACAACAAATTTTAAACAGTTAAAAGCAACATACCGAAAAAAAACATGATTCATTAAATATAAACATTTAAAATGAAAAGTTACATGTTAGACATCAAAAGACAGAAACAAATAACTCTAAAAGAGACACAAATCATTCAATTCCAAACAAAAAGTAGGAACATTTGGTCCCTAACATGTCGATCAACCCGCCGCCTCTTTCCTTGTCCATTCTCCACATTTTCTTCATCTAAATTCTCCAAAACCATGTCATCTAATCGTGAACTTAAACGTTCAATATAAGTGCTTTCAGGATTGACGTCCCACTTTTTGTGTGGACTGGATGTGTATGATTCGTGGAAACAAGATAGAAATCGAATGTTGGATTGAATGTAAACCAATTTATCGGCTCTTTTCTCATTCGACTGGTTTCTTTTCACATTATGAATATAACAATACATACTCCACTTCCTTTCTCACTACTAGAAAACAGACCTTTAATGACGCGCTTTTTACGACACACACTGATTAATGAAACGCAAAAGGATGTGCCCTTAAAATAGTGTCATCTCTCCAAAAAATTTAAGGATTCACATCACGCATTATTGCGTGCCCTTAATTTAGTGTCTCAAGAAAAAAAATTAAAAACACGGAGGGCACTTTATCTTAAACGCACGTCGTCTGTACCTGTCGCTTTATAATTTTAATGAAACGCGCTTTTAGTAGACAAGGGGGGAAACGAAATCCCTAAAATTTTGAAAACCCGCCTCATTTTTTCTATCTTCTATTTCTCTCTCTCTCTCTCTCTCTCTCTCTCTCTCTTCTCTTTCAAGCCCTAAGCCCTAAACATCCTCCACCAACATCTGAACGAGCCCTCGCCAGTTACCTCTACTCCACCATCAAGCTCTTGCTCCGCCTTTGGAGGTGTTGGCGCTGCTGGTGGTTGTCTTTCAGCTTCAGCCACACCTCTTCACGATTATAGTCCGTAGCAGCTCGTCTTCCCCTCTCTCTGTCTCTCTAGCTCTCTCTCTCTCTCTCTCTCTCTCCCTCTCTCTCTTTCCCTTTCTCTTTCAAGCCCTAAGCCCTAAACAGCCTCCACCAGCATCTGAACGAGCCCTCGCCAGTTATCTCTACTCCACCATCAAGCTCTTGCTCTGCCTATGGAGGTGTTGGCGCTGGTGGTGGTTGTCCTTCAGCTTTAGCTACGCCTCTTCACGATTATAATCCGTAGATATTGATTTATGTTTGTGAAGCAACAATGGTTTTGACAACCGCGATGGCAGAGAAGTTGTATTCGTGTCTGACAAGACTGGTGGCAGCGGTAGCTATCCTCCAACCCATCTCTCCTCTCTGCCACCGTCGCTGACCTACGCACCGCCTGTAAGAGTTCAAGAGGTTTCAATGATTTGCTTGCTGGCTTTGGAAGCGGCGGTTCTCCATCTAGTAGCAGGTACTGTGTTATGATTTAACTCCCCGCCACCGTCATGTTCCTCCTTCTTATACCTTTTACTATCTTTTATCTTTTATGTTGTGTATCTGTTATTGATTCTCCCTTATATAATATAACCACCATCTGTAGGAGTTTATTCTCAAAGAAAATCTGCCAAAGCCAACTCCTGTAACCCGTATTGGTCAAGGTCATGAGACAAGTTCATTTAAATCCAACTTTGCTTCTTGGTCAGTAGCTTCAGCAGCTTCTGCTCTTGAGGAAACTAGAGGAAAAGTAGCAGGTAGATTCATTCTATATCTTATATATATATTTGTTATATGGGACATGGGTGTTTGAGTTTTCTAGGGCTATTTTTGACTTTTTCTAAAACTTACCCTAAGTTCTACTCTTGTTCTAATGACTAGCTCTGCTGAAGCAACAAGGTGCTTTTGCCAAAGGTCAGACAAAAACGGCTCCTGTAGAGGAGGAAGTTCCACCTTTGCTTGGAGAAAATGGAAAAATTGAGGTTTCAGATCATAAACTTGTTGCTACATTTAGATTTAATGTAGAAAGATAAAATAATTGTGGGCTCTTTAGGTATGGCGTATTGATGGTGAAGAAAAGACGGAATTACCCAAGGAGGATATTGGAAAATTTTACAGTGGAGATTGCTATATTTGTCTTTACTCCTACCATTCTGATGAAAAGAAAGAAGATCACTACATGTGCTGCTCGATTGGGAAGGATAGCATCCAGGTAAACTAAAACCATATTATTTCTTTTCTTTTTTTTAAGAAAAAAAAATCTTTAATTGTGTATTTGGGATGAAGACTTGTTATGTTGTCTGATCACAGGAGGACCAAAAACAGTTGTTCAACAAACTACTTCAATGTTCAACTCTATGAAATGCAAACCTGTTCAGGTACCATAAATATAATAGCTTTTTTTACTTGTTGCACTGCTGATTATATATAAATTTAGTTTTGAAATATTAGTATCTTATCGTAGGGTCGAATGCATCAAGGAAAAGAAGCACCACAATTTGTTGCTATCTTTCAGCCTATGGTTGTTCTCAAGGTACTCTCTTCCACTTGTAGTAGTTGTAAAAGATATAGCTCTAGAAGAAGGCTGTTAACTATGGTAAATATTTGGTTTTACTTTTACTAGGGTGGATTGAGCTCTGGTTATAAAAACTACATTGCAGAGAAAGGACTGCATGATGAGACCTACAGTCCAGATACTGCTGCACTGATTGAAATATCAGGAACTTCAGTTCATAATAATAAAGCTCAACAAGTAGAGAGGGTATGGAAACCAGAGTACACCTGAACAACAGCAATTAGCAGCAAAAGTTGTTGAACTTTTGAAGGTATGCTTTTTAAATTATTGGTCTTACATCTTTATTTACTTTTATACCCCTTTCCAATCCTTGATAATTTATTCAACTCTTTTTTCTTATATCTTTAGTCTGGAGTACCTGTAAAATTCTCTAGAGAAGGAAAAGAGAGCTTAGCTTTCTGGCTTGCACTTGGTGGAAAACAAAGCTACTCAAGTAGCAAAGTAACACAGGAAATCATCCGTGAACCTCACTTGTTTGAAGTAATAAGCAATAAAGGTTTCAAAACCATAAACCATCATCTATCTTTCACATGTTCATTTTTGCTGATTATATCCACCAACTATTTTTATCATCTTATTTTCCTCTATAGGAAAGTTAGAGATTGAAGAAGTTCACAGCTTTGAACAAGATGACTTGTTTCCAGAGGATGTCTTGATATTAGATACACATGCTGAGGTCATCGTTTGGGTTGGTCATTTAGCACAGTCAACGGAAAAACAAAACGATTTTGAAACTGGCGAGGTACATATAATAATAATAATTATTATACAAATGCAAAATTATACGTTGTATTGGTTGGTATGTTTTTTTAATAAGTTGATTTCAGAAATATGTAGAGCTGGTTGCATCTATGGATTCCTTGTCCCCATCTGTCATATTATACAGAGTAACAGAGGGAAACGAACCTTGCTTCTTCACAACATATTTCTCATGGGATCCTACAAAAACTATTGTATGTATACATATGTATTAATAATTAATAATTAATTTGTATCTCATTTTTCTCTTTCTCAATGGAACCAGGCTCACGGAAATGCATTCCACAAGAAGGCTGTGCAACTCTTCGGCATAGGCTGTGTAGCAGAGGTATTTCTTATATAAAAAGTTTTTTTTTTGGATTAATTTTTTTTAAGTGGCCCCTATCATATTATTTTATTACAACAGAGCCAAGATGTTAAGCCCCTGGGAAATAAACTTAGTGAGGCCACCCAAAGAGCATCAGCCATGGCAGCTTTAACCTCTGCTTTTTCAAAATCAACTAATGCTCCTAAACCTCCTCAACATGGACCACCTCCAAGAATGCTAGCTCGTGGGTCCTAGAGAGCGGCGGCAATAGCCGCCGTATACTTTATATACTCTTGAACCATGTAATTTACTTTTTACCCTCAATAGCAACATAGTTTCTATTTCTTTAAACTTGATTTTGAATGTGTGTTTTTGTCATCAGTGATCCTCACTGGTTCTCCAGATTGTTCTATTCTTGCAATTGATATTGAAATAGGATCTCCAGTTAGTTATGGATGGATGTTCATACAATTAGGTATTATTTTCAATATTCATACAGTTAGTTATGGATGGATGTTCAATGTATTATTTTCAATATTCATACAATTAGGGATGTTCATACTTGAGGTATTGTATCACTTTTAATGAAGTTTGAAATGCATATAGTAAAAGATTAGGTCGATTTACCTTTTTTTTTTTTTTTTGTTTTTTTAGGAAATCAAGGAAAATGGCACCACCATATAGAGTGATGCTACACAATGACAACTACAACAAGAGGGAATATGTTGTGCAAGTGTTGATGAAGGTTATACCTGGAATGACAGTTGACAATGCAGTTAATATCATGCTCTTGACCTGGACACCACTCTAAATTGTAACTTACTCTAAATTTTATATGTAAATTTTATTTTATCTTTTGAAGGGAAATTTACTGAATATTGATTGGTTGATGCAGTTAACTAGAATTGGTCAAGATGCAGTTTTATATGTTGAGTCGCTCATTGAGTCAATCATGGGAGGATTGGAAGAGCTAATCAACATTCTTGATTCTGAAGGAGGTTTCGGCTCTTTGGAGACACATGTTCTTACTATTTTATCAATTTCCTTAAAAAGTTACCAAATTCATGTATTAAATTTGATAAAGCTAACTTAATTACTTTTTTTAAATCCTAGCTTCTACCAGAAGTCAGCTGAAACTACAAATGGCTTTTGATGGGCAGGAAAGATATATGAAGGTATGATCTATATTGTAATTCAGATTCTATAACTTTTATTATGTAATCTCTTAAATCTTAATACCCATTATTCCTTATGCATGTAGAGATCTTGGGAGCCAAGTGATAAAGTTGATCTTCACTTTGTCTACAAAGATGTTGAAGGAGTATCAACTCAATGGGATGATATTCAAAGAAAACTCAGGAACTTACCTCCCAAACCCTCTTCCTTCAAACCCGATCCCTTCACTCCTGTAGAAGATGAAGATTCCAAACCTAAAACCAAATCTCGGATCGATAACAAGACAGAAGAACTCAAAGATTTAGAAGATGATCTTGATGATAGTTGTTTCCTCGAAGAATACAAGTACCTTCAACTCCCTTAATCCTAATATCATTTTATGAGGGTATTAAATTTCATGTGATATTGTAACAGCCCGGAATTTCAGGTATTGCTTTAAAAATATTTTTGGGGCATTTTAGGAAGGGACTCGGCGAGTTGGAGCCAGACTCGCCGAGTAGGACCACAGACTTGGTCGCGGGTTCGCGACTGGACTCGACGAGTCCAGATATGGACTCGGCGAGTCGATGCTGTTCAGCAGAAACCCTAGCCGTTTGGTTTTGGATCGTATATAACGCCTTTTAGGCCGTCATTGTCCGTCTTTTGGCCGATTGAGAAGAACCTAAGCGTCTGTGGACATCTAGAGCAGAAGTGAAGGCTATTGGAACCTTGAAGAATTTGTTAGGCAAGAGGAGGAAGGGTTTTGGCCAAAAGAAGATCAAGGGGATCGAGTTCTGAGGTTTGGGGACACAGAGAGCACGTTTTTCAGGTAATACTTCGGATCATTCCTGTTATTTTGAGGTGTACACGGATTTAGGGTTTATGAAACCCATTTGGTGATTAGATGGATTATTATGTTGTTACCCAAACGTTTATACCCTAGTAATAGGATGTTTAGAGGTCTAGAAAGTCCCATGATTGTGTATTTCGGGACCATACGTATTTCAGGAAGCAGTTGATCGACTGCATGGCATGGACTCGCCGAGTCCAATGAACAGACTCGGCGAGTAGCTTGAAGATTCACTGGGACTCGCCGAGTTGTTCTTCAGACTCGGCGAGTGGAGTCGGGGTGGCCCCGCGATTCTTCCACGTGGATCTCGTCGGGTCAAGGGGGATACTCGACGAGTAGAAAGGGAACATCAGGGAAAGTTGGAGAGGACGTCTCGACTCGTCGAGTCACCTTTGCACTCGACGAGTCCGGTCCAGTTGACCGTTGACCAGAGTTGACCTGCATATAATTTCTTAGGGTCAGTTGTCTTGAATGATAAGAGTATTAATAAGGGTATATGGTATTATAGGGAGTCTGCAGATCGGCGGATCGAGTGCGAGTGATTTCAAGAGTTGATAGTTTTCATTACCACGAGGTGAGTCTTCTCACTATACTATACCCGGAAGGGTTTGACTGTGTGACCGGAAGGTCGAATACGATGTATGTTATATATGCTATAAATAGAAAGGTAGTTGCTATGCATGATATGTATGTTTATACGGGCTGGAAGGCGATATGTTATGTGACAGAAAGGTCAGGTATGATATATGATATATGTGCTATGTTCGTTAGATTAAATGTATTATGTGTTGTCAATGTTATGGGCCGGAAGGCAATATGTTATGGGCCGGAAGGCAATATGTTACGGGCCGGAAGGCAATATGTTATGGGCCGGAAGGCGATTATGTTACGGGCCGGAAGGCGATTATGTTACGGGCCGGAAGGCGATGTGTTGTGGACCGGAAGGTCAGGGCCTGGGAAGGCGTATATGTGTAAGTCGTATACTGGGGAACTCACTAAGCATTTATGCTTACATGTTGTTATGTATGTGTTTCAGGTACTAGCGAGGACCGTGGAAAGGCGCCGGCGTGATGCATACACACTGCTGCTATTTGAGATCTTGGGAATTTATATATGTATTTGATATGAAACATGGAATAAATATTATTGGTTGAATGAAATCACTTTATTTTAAATGAAAAATTTATTTGAAAATTTGCGTTGTTACAATTGGTATCAGAGCCTTGGTTTGAGGGATTCGGGTGTACCTTCGGGTGTAACTGAACTCAAACCGAGGATTTGAGGAAAAATCTTTTAAAAATAATAAAGACATAAATTTTTATAAATGGTAAAGTGGTAAACAAGAACGGAGCAGTGTGTACGATCAGCCAGCGCCCGAACGGTAAAGATCCCCAGAATACCTTACAATGTTATGTTATGCACTGAATTATGAATTGTTATGCATGCTAGAAGACTAGGTATTCATGATAGGACTAGAATGGCCTGTTTTGTGATGCCTTAGTCTAGGGAGTTTGCTTATATGAGATATTCGATAGCGTGCAGGTAGATAGTGCATACTAGAGGTAGAGTACTCACTATTCGGGGTTTGGGGAGGAAGATTTGGGACGAATACTGATACGGTGTGGTCGGTAGTATTGGGCCCGTACTACCGAAGACACCGGGTCGGTGGAAGACCCAAGTAAGAATCCCTGGATATCGGAGACTGAGTAGGGTTGTTATCGAGTACAATTGTACTTGATGGAGTCTCTGATAATTTTATGTTGTATTTCAGAGACATCATGGTTACCACACGTCATGGGGCGAGTTCGAGCAGTGTGAGCGACGAGGATATTCGTCAGATGATTCAGGAGGAGGTAGCTGCAGCGATCCGGGCTGAGATCCCGGAGATGTTTGGGTCTATTAAGACCACACTGATGGAGACGTTTGAGGAGCGGTACGCCGCACTGACTGAGGCTGCAGCCGCTGCCGCTACCGCAGCTGTGGCCGCTGCCAGGCCGCAAGGGGGCGATTCGTTGCTGTTCCGGGAATTCAGCAACACGAAACCCCCTGAGTTCGATGGGACGCAGGATCCGATTGCTGCGATGAGGTGGATCGCCGACATTGAGGGGTGCTTCTACACTTGCTCATGCCCGGAGCACCTGAGGGTACGGTTCGCCTTGAACCAGCTCCGTCTGGGAGCGAAGGATTGGTGGAAGTTCGTGACGGCGAACTTCACTCTGGCGGAGATTACAACGGTGACATGGGAGAGGTTTACTGAGATGTTCAGGGACGAGTACGTTCCCCCAGTGGAGAGGGAACGATTGATTCAGGAGTTCTTGACCCTTAAGCAGGGTACTGATTCCGTTGCGGTGGTCACACGGAAGTTTCACGAGAGGGCGATGTTCTGCCCAGAGCTGGTGTCTACAGAGCAGTCACGGATGAGCCGGTATTTAGGCGTTTTGAGGAGGGATATCCGGGAGTTTGTGTCAAACTCCACCTATCGTACTTTCACTGAGCTTCAGGCGAACGCCAGGAAGCGCGAGATCGAGTTGGAGACTCAGGCCAGGGAGGAGGCCGAGTCTCGGCAGGTGGATCGGCGGCCGGCTCAGTCTCAGCCGGCAGCCAAGCGGATCAAGTCCGCTGATTCGAGGATGGGAGGTCCGAAGGGCCGCACTTGCGGAAAGTGCGGCAAGGGTCATGAGGGGGCGTGTCGAGCTGGTGGTTGCTACAAGTGTGGCAAGGAGGGACACATTGCCAGGGATTGCCTAAGGGGTTTATGGTTTGCTTTCACTGCAACCAGACAGGCCATCGGAAGGCCGAGTGCCCGCAGCTTCGTCAGGGATCTACACCGATTACCAGGACTACTGAGACTCGACCGGCGAAGGTCGAGGCCCCGAGGGCTCGCGGGAGAGCCTTTCAGCTGACTGCGGAGGAGGTCCGCGCTGCGCCCGATGTTGTGGCAGGTATGCTGTAATTCACGTATTTACTTTAAAGTCGAAATGTTATGCTTATGTTAATGTATGTGTAGGTACTTTTCTTGTGAACTCTATGCCTGCTCTAGTGTTATTTGATTCGGGTGCGAGTAGATCCTTTGTATCTTTAGCTTTTAGTCAGCATATCAGCATTAGTCGTGAGCCGTTAAGTCGGCCTCTGAGCGTTTCTATAGCGGCCGAGAGGGTGGTTTGTGCCACGGAGGTTCTTCGGGGATGCGTACTAGAGATTTTCGGGGTTGCGTTTCCGATTGACCTAATTCCTATTGCGATGGGGGATGTCTGTGTCATCGTGGGCATGGACTGGTTGAGCCGATTCAGCGCTGTCATCGACTGCGAGCGTCAGCTGGTGACTATACGAGACCCTAGTGGGGGAGTTCTTACGGTATACGGCGAGGGTACCCGTTCGGGATCAGCTTTTTGTTCGGCCGCTAGGGCGAGGCAATGCCTACAGCAGGGATGTAAAGGTTTTGTGGCGTATGTGATGGATACGCGGGAGGCTTCCGAGAGACCGAGGACAGTGGAGGAGGTTCCAGTGGTGCGCGAGTTTCCAGATGTTTTTCCCGAGGAGTTGCCGGGAGTACCTCCTGCGAGGCAAGTAGAGTTTGGTATCGATCTGATTCCGGGGGCTGCGCCTATTGCGAAGGTGCCTTATCGTCTTGCACCTCCAGAGATGCAAGAGTTGTCCTCGCAACTCCAGGAGTTGCTGGGGAAGGGATTTATTCGGCCGAGTAGCTCGCCGTGGGGAGCACCGATTCTGTTCGTCAAGAAGAAGGATGGTTCACACCGGATGTGCATTGATTACCGGGAGTTGAACAAGGTGACGGTCAAGAACCGCTATCCGTTACCTAGGATCGATGATCTATTCGATCAGTTGCAAGGGGCATCTTGGTTTTCCAAGATCGATTTGAGATCAGGGTACCATCAGGTAAGAGTGCGGGATGAGGACGTCCAGAAGACAGCATTCAGGACGCGGTATGGGCATTACGAGTTCGTGGTGATGCCTTTCGGGCTCACCAATGCCCCGGCAGTGTTCATGGACCTCATGAACAGGGTATGCAGGCCGATGCTGGATCGGTCTGTGATTGTATTTATCGACGACATCCTAGTGTATTCGCGAACTAGAGAGCAGCATGAGGGACATTTGAGGGAGGTCCTTGAGGTACTGAGGTCGGAGAAGCTATATGCAAAATTCTCCAAATGTGACTTCTGGTTGCGGGAGGTCCAATTTCTTGGACATGTTGTTAATCAGGCAGGGATATTGGTCGATCCGGCCAAGGTGGAAGCAGTGATGAGTTGGGAGGCACCGAAGTCACCTTCCGAGATCAGGAGTTTCCTTGGGTTGGCGGGGTACTATCGGAGGTTTATTAGGGACTTCTCCAAGATCGCGGTACCGCTCACCAGATTGACCCGGAAGGGTGTTACATTCTCATGGGGACCCGAGCAACAGACTTCCTTCGAGACACTTCGTCAGAGACTGTGCGAAGCCCCGGTATTAGCTCTCCCGGAGGGATGGAGGATTTTGTCGTATATTGCGACGCATCGATTTCGGGACTGGGTGCAGTG